GTACAAAGTTTGAAAGCACTTCATTGAGGCAGACCTGATTCCATTAAGGAATGTGACTGTTGCTTAATATCAAAGCAGCAACCGTGCATAATCGAGTACGTAATCGACTTGGCCGATATCTTGGGGTCCAGGCTTAGGTGATATGATTTTTCTAAAGGATAGGAAATGCACCGGATTCACGTAATGGGAAAATATTTAAACGTAACCCCGCCGAAGCGGAATATCATGCAAATAACACTTATGTAATAATAACTTCTTATTTAGTGCTCCATTTTCTAAACATTGAACCAGCATGAACTTTACAGGATACTGTATATCATCTTGATGTTGTGAATGAAGAATAATTTAAATAGCTTTTATTTTAGTTGAAGATTAAGCGAAGGCCTTTCAGTTGATGTACGGCAGGCTGCTGCGCTGCTTTACTTCCGGTAGCCTTGGCGGTGGTGTTGTAGATTTCTTCAGTGCATGCTTTTATTCATCATTTTCCTCAAAGACCCATCGCCTCGAAAGAATCATCCATACTGGCGTCTGTCGGTCAGTGCTGCAGTTAGCCGACTCGCCCTGCAACACATGTGCAACCACCTCGACGCTGTTTCTCAGACTTCGTTCCTGTTCAGCACGAGACAGACCCGCTTCTTCCAATCTAGAGAAGGTAAACTGGTGTTGTTTCCTCATTTTTGTGTTATATCTTGAATTTAGGAACGCGTGCTCACCATCCCCAATGTACTATGCGCGTTCCGCCTATGCTCAGCACCGTGGTTGTCTTACCTGATTGTCAACTCACTTTATACGCAAACTTTCGTTCTGTTTGTAGCCGCAAGCCTGACTGATCTGGTAAGGTGGTGGTTTGCAACGCATTTCTGAAATTGTGAACCTTTGATGAAGGCAGACGGCTACGTAGCAAGGAAGTTTCCTTCTCAAAGGTCGATTCTCGGCAGCGTTCTCGATCCTATAGCAGACAAAATTTTGGTAGCCTCTGTTTTCCTTTCGCTGACTTATAATTGTCTGATACCGGGTAAGAATTTCGTACATTGCAATACGAAATTGTCATGCTTTGCTACTTTTATGGGGGACGTACAAGCGTCACGGTAGGTAGATGACATTATAAAAAATTGTGATGCTCTGTTTTGAAATTAATACGGATGATGACGCACAACATTTGTATGAGGGCAATCTTTATCTTATTCACGAATTCCTTTGAGCAGGGAATTTACTGCACGTTTCTTCAGGCTCAGTCGGTGGAGTGTCAAAGTCAAAACCAATAGATCCTGAGTTCAAGTCCCAATCTGGGTCACTCGCTTTTCTTCCTTCTGAGGTTGATGAGTGCCATTTTATGGGAAGGAAACAGGAGACTCCAGGCTACGCCTGTAACATGGCTATAGGCTACCCGCCTTTAAGAATAGGGCACTCATGGCTGATGGTATAGAAACGGAAATCAGCACCGCACCATCAACTTTATGAAAAAACGGCCGTCGAAATGGCTCAATCGTGAAAGTGATGCAAGATCGAATTCCGACAGGGAAGAAGTTTCCTCGTCTTCTTTCCTTTCATATGAACTTTTTTCATACAATTTTTCCTCAATGGCTGTAGCCGTCATCCAACAGAAATTTCCATGGTCTTGGGTTCAGGTTTTAAATTGGGATTATTACTTATATCAAAGTCTGTGAAGCTTAGCAGGAGTGATATAGAAATTGTTGTAACTATATCTCTTTGAGGTTAACAAGTTAGAGTACTCTTCACAAAATCCGTTCTGTTCCTTGTACCGGGGCCATCAACGGTTAATCATTTTCGCTCCATTCACAAATTGAAATTAGTATGCGTTGATGATCTTTCTCCACCGTTTTGATGGTATCGATCGCTCCAACAATTACTTCGGTCAGTAGTCTTTAGACCTTCTCTGTTTTATCTTCAGTTGGTGTTATATCAGTATTTTTTTGCTTTGCCTACTAAAACCGTACGTGGACCATGAGTCGATATTTGTTGTTCTGTTAGTACTACTAAGAAGCCCCAGAGTATTTTCTTTGGCTTTTTTGATGTTTGCTCGATTGCTTTTCCAATGGTAATTGGGCTAGTTTATACAAATGCTGATGGACTCTCCTTGCAGTGTTTCCCTGTCTCTTTCCTTGTCTTTTCTATTGGCGAGCATTTGGAAACCGGAAGCTATATGGGGAACCGTCTCATCCTTCGTTTGGCATATTCAGCCGATTGCTTCCAGCCGAGAGTGTACGATCTTAGCCTTATAATTGTTCCTGTTCACTGCTTTGTATTAAGCAGCTATTCAAACGGTTTCGGTTTTGCCCTAGAATTTTCTCGCGGATATCCAGTTGGTAGTGTCGTGAACGATTTTGATTCTTAGATTAATGTTTGACCTCTCCGTATCACCACATTCATCACTGAATTGATGACTGGGACATTGGTATAAAGGATGCCAAGCGGTACCGGAACGTTTCTTCTTTCTATTTCTCAACTGTTAAATGATCCATAACGTTTTCATCTAGCTGAATGATTCATAGTTCAGGGCACGAAATATGGTAGATTATAAAACCTTTATTACCGACCTGTTTGACAATATAGACCGTAGCATCGACACGGGTGGGGTAAGTACAGATGGCAGCTTAAAGGCACTTATATCCAACATGCGAACATTACCATGTTTCCTGACAGACCCATACTTTAAAAAGTCAGTTACTGAGATGCTTGACAGAATGTAAGTCAACGAACGCGATGAAAGGTTCACTTTTAAAATGAAATCGAATCTTTATTATGTTGACCCGAACCTGGCAACCAGTTGCGGAATATCGTACCAGCTATGGTAACGGTAACATACCTGATTGCGAAAGAGCTTGATTTGTTACTGAAACCTGCTGATAGAGGAATGGCTTACAGAGTGAAAGACAAAAGGAAGTTTCTATGCAGACTGAAGCAATATTATTATCAAGATTGTTGCATGGTTTCCCTAGAAGTCACCGTCATTTTCAACATTGTGGATACTAGCATGATTGAAAATATTCTTCCTGACATCTTGAAGAACGCGGCGAATGAGTGGAAAACATGCCAAATTGTGTTGAGAAGCTGCAGTGTTGAGAATTTGATGACAATTTTTGGCCTGGTATGGATGGCACCCGTTTCAAATTTGCGAATCGTGTTTACCACCAGTTCCCAGGGGCTCTCCAGAAAGTGTTGCTTAGCCGATCTTTATATGGAGCACATCGTGGTTAAAGTCCTTAAGGGACGTTTGTTAGAATTCTGGCCACTGTTCTATGTCTGAATCTGATTCGTTGATGACATTTACACATTAATACAACAAACTAAGGACGAATATAAGGTCTGGAAAGCTCTGCTGATTACTTGAATGGACGAGAAAGCAATGGCCGAATAGTTTTACCACTGAAGCGGGGGTACATTGCTTTAAATCCTGTTTGGATATGCTAGTGAAGATGGCACTCTCGTTTGAATTTGAAATTTCCATGTGTAAGAAACCAGACCACCCCAATCGGTACTTGTACATGACATCATGTGTTTCTTAGGTTCTCAGGTTTGCGTAGTAACGTTGTGAATAACCTACTTTTAATAGCCAGGAAAACTGTTGCTTCACTTCTTGCGTAGACTCCGAGGTTCAGCATATATATCTTCCCTTCTAAAGAATGGGAAGAACGTTTACACCTCATTTTGAACCTATAAATGCCTTCTCCTTGTAGACCAACGGTAATTTTATCCTTCATACCCCAGGTATCTCAAGATGTCCCGAGGTACCTCAATGACATGGGGTTTAAAGTCTACTTCAAATCTTGCAAAACATTTTGGCAGCGTTTCATTGAATAACTACGTGCCATCATCCAGCAAAAATGTTAAAATCATATACAAGATCCATTGCGAAAACAGCCAAGGTGTATATTGTAAAGACCTACCAGAAGTTGAATATCGAGATTAAAGAGCACCCATAGTATTATATGATAGTGCGACAGTGTAAGACATATGAAAGTTTACACCTTGTAGTATCGCAATATCGCACCGTTTCTTTGCTTCTAGTCGGCTAGGGGGATCGTTTGCGTGAGATTAGGGGCTGCACAGTATTTAAGCGCCTGATTAACGTCTTATTTATTTTTATATAGTGTTCTTAGAGTTTTCTGACACGCTCTGACCGTCGTTGCGTTGGAAAAAAGTCTTTTTCACCGAAGCTTCCTGATGCCAGATACCCAAATGCAGTGCCAGAGAAAAATTGCCATTATGTAGTGACAGTTGCTCTCTGGACCCGGGCTATTTTTGTTTAGTTGAGATTATCACCTAGAGTTATTTGCGTAAGCAGAGCGCTTCTCACTCCATTGTATTTTGTACTGTACTCTGCTTTCTTGTGGTATCTATTGTATTCACAGCTTTACAGCCCTTTTGCTGTAACGCGCTGGCTACTGTATCTTATATGGAAGTATTCATTTTCTAAAGCAGGTTTGCCTTTATTTTCTTCCTCAGTGTCAGGGGATGACTTCCTAGCCGACGCCGGACATGTTTCGAATTCCACATGAGACGCCCGTGGGCTGAAGCAAATGATGTATATTCAACTAATTTCTCTAACAGGGCCAACCTTCTATTCCTTGTTCAATTGCTGAAGATTACGAAGTCGAGATACGTAAACCTGTCATCCTCCTGAACCTTTAAGCATCATCTTTGCCGGATGGACTGTTTATATCTTTTAACTTCTCAGCGTTAAGGAAGAGGCTGGCCTTTGCAGTTGTCATGCAAATGGGAGCCATCGGGTGGGAGAATTTCCTCCCTCTACTATTCGTCTGTACATGTTAGGTAAGCAAGATACTGGCCGGATATTTTGAACTGCATCTACCCTCTATTCCCCTGCAATTAACTATATTTCTAAGTATTAACACGCAAATCCGGACTAGAATATTAATCAAGACTGATGACAAACTTGAATTTTGATGCACATGTTTGTTATCAGGGAATGATTTTTAAAATTGTTGTTATTTCAGTCCCTCTCGCATTATTGGTCGTCGGCCGTGATGTTCTGTTGGTCATCTGGGGTGCATATGTTCGCTACATATCGTTGCCAGCGCCAAGAAGATTGAGAAAATTTTTCGATCCGACTTTGCCAACGGTTCAGATAGAAGCATCTCTTATTAGCAAGGTAAAATTCTAGTTTTTCTATATTTTTTTAGCGTTCTTGCATGGCGTTATTAAAGTTTAAAGATTGTGAGCCATTTGCTTTATTGGTTAACTCACCGAGTTCGATTCTTTTAGCAGCTTAGAGATCTGGTAGATTTTTTTTTCACTGATATATTTATATTTCTTCCCATGACGTAATAAACAGAAACAGTGTCAAAAATGAAATTACGAATTTTAAAATTACTGGTATTTCATTCGAAGATAATGAAAAACTAAGCTAACT